GAAAGGACTAAGTGTGGGAAGCTGGTCAGAATGGTTCAGGTCGTATGGGACTGCGATGGACAGGAACAGGTTACTTGGGAAAAGGAGGCTAGGATGAAAGCCGAGTATCCCAAATGGTTTGACAAGTTGCAAACAGATGAGTCGGATTCGAGGACGAATCCAGAACGGGTGGGGGAGAGTTGTAGCATCCGTATCTGAGAAAATGTGGAATGATCGTACCGGACAGGGTGTTGTCCGAGGAATGACCAAGCCAAGGGTCGGATACTGGCTGGGAAATGGAGGTTCAGACTATGGTCGGGTGTTGACCGAGGAAATAATCGGGTATGGGCTGGATAGCCGAGCCGGATGGACCATATCCGAGGGAGAACAGGGTCCAGTCCGAGGGAAATGGGATTTATCCGAGTGCAGTGGGATATATCCGAGAGTCTGGGAGGTTAGTCTGAGTGTCAGTGGACTGTCTCCAAGGGAGAATAGGAAACCTCCGAGGGAAATAGAGGATTAGCCGAGGTGGGACAAGTTGTCCGAGAGAAATAGGAATATCCGGGTGAAAAATGGAAAACACCTCGGATAAGGGCGGTTTATCCGAGTGGGAAGGGATTTGGGCCGTGGGCCAAGTGTTTGGTCGGCTATTTTGGGGTTTATCGAAGGAATGGTCGAGCCGGTACAGGAAATAGCCGAGAGAATCAAATCGGACCGGGATAAAACTTACTGGAACGGGGAAAACGTCGGATAAGTCCGGGTTACCTAGGGTTTTGCGAGTATTTAAGGGATTTTGAGACTTTTCTCGGGAGAGTTGTGTTTGTTCGAGAGCAATAAAGCAAAGAAAGAGAATAGTCGAGAGAAAACCCTAAGAAAAACAGTTTATCCCGAGGACATCCGAGAGAGATCATGTTATCACCGAGCAGATCCGACCATCGCCGAGATAAACTGGTAAGCGATCGGATATTTCCCTAAGTGTTGAGTTTTCATCAGATAACCTCGAGCTAATAGCCTTGTTTTGTGGGGTTTCTGAGGGAAAACAGAGTTTGGCTCGAAGAAAGGTGAACGAATCAAGAGATAGCCGAGAGGATAAGGATCGGATCGTACCATGAGCCGACAGATTCTTAGGGAGATCGGATATCTTCATTTTGGTGCGGTTTTCATCAGGATTTCTTCTGACCAATCTGTTTCCAGCCTTGTCTAAGGTGAGTGCGTGACTGTGGTTGGGTCTAGGACCGTAGGATTGCTAGGGTTGAGTGTTTTGCATGTTGATTGTGTGATTTTCATGTTATGTGTTTGGAATGGATAAGTAATCCTTGTGTTGTGACATATTGTGGTGTTTACCGTGGCATATATGATGTTTAGCTAACCTCAGGGTAATCCGGATCATGTACTAGCTTAGGGGATGTGGGATTCTCTCTGAAGTAGACATGGGTCTTAAAAAGAGATTGATCTTGGTTGGTTAGGCTAGATGATCATGGCCGTTTGATATTGTGATGTCTATTGTGAATTGATTGTGTTGAATGTTGAATCCGAAAGTATGACTGTGTGTTTTGGTACTGACCAGGTGTTACGGGATAACCGTACTCACTAAGTATTTATGAAATACTTATGCCTCTCATCTTGAGTGTGCAGGTACTAAGCAGTAAAAGGGCGAGACCAGGCGGCAGTGATGGATGTGGATTGGGACTTGGTTTTATTTGTGTTAAGACTTGTGTTTAGAGTCTTGTGGCTTTGGTGTTTGGCTATTTAGGTTGCTAGATGATCGTTTGTAATCTTTAGCGAACCTTGTGCTTTTATTTATGTTGAACCCCGAATCCTGTTTAAGTATTTTTGAAAGTTGAATAAATGAATGAGATGCTTTATATTCCGCTGTGTAATGATAAGAAAGACTTAGAAAAATAAAGAGAAAAAAGTTCAAAAATATGGCTAAGTATAGAAATGGACTTAGAGGATGTAGTGGGACACAGCCGCGGTACGGTTTACCGGGTTGGGTTACCACAGAAGCGGTCTACACGGGCTAACTATGCGGAAAACGTAGAAGGCCCGCATGCTTTGATTCTACATGACAAAAATCAAAGCTTCGAGACCATCACGCGTACTAGCCCCGAAGCCGAGAAGTCGGATCCGCAAAATGAAGGAGAATACGAAAACAACGCGTAAAAGACAAAGACGTATGAAGCAAACTGAAGTGCATTTTAAAAAGCAAACAGGCAAAAAACGGCCACCGATCCAGGTTCGAAAGTGAAATTTGCTAGGTAAAAAGGTCTCCAAAACAAGTTTTTAAATTTAAAAACCCCGCGGGCGTGAAGATCCCGCCGGTGAAGAAGGGCTTGCTCCTCCTGCCGCCCCTGATACATTCGGCCCTTGTGCTCGCAACACCGCTGTTGCTCCTCGAGCTCCCACCTGAGCATGCAAATCGTAGCCTGGCTTCAGCCGCCATCAACGCCAGGTCCGTCCCGGCCCCGAGAGTAAATCCCTGGTATACCATGAGGGTCTGGCGGAGCTTCTGCACTTCGAAATTGCGAGCCTCCGGGTCCTGTTGGCTATCCACGTACGCCAAGGACAGGCGCTCCATCTCCATGCTCAAGTCCTCCTCTGAGCAGCCTTGGCGTGTTTGTCCCGGGTCACCAGGAGTTCAGCTTGGAGTTCGCTAGCTCTGTCTGCAAGGCCCCATTCCTGGTGCTCGGCCGCATGGAGCTCATGCTCCAGCTTCTCAAGTGAGCGTTGGCCCTATCTACAGCAAAAAAAAGCAAGTAAGAGACGAAGAACTAGGAACAAAAGAGGGAGGAAGTCCCAAAAGAAGAAACTTACCGCATCCAGAGATTGTGTGAGCTCCGAGGCAGTCAACCGCCACCCGGTAAGCTCGCGGGCCGAGAGAGCAGTCGGACAAGGAGGCATGAATACCGGCTCCGACTCCGAGGAGACGCTCATCGCCTTTGGCGAGCCCTGTGCAGCAGGAACCGGGGTATCAGCTCGTGCAGTCCTGGACCTCACGATGGTCCCCAGGTATACGGAGGCATCGACCTCCCTCTACACCCCGTTGCTGGCAGCAGAGTCAGACTCTGAAGAGGAGACTGCGGGGTGGACGGGAGAAGGACCAAGACACCACGTCGCCCTCACCACGGGAGATCCGGTGAGGTGTTATCAGCACAAAGGCCGAGACAAAGCCTCCCCAGAAGGCCATTAAAAGTTAGTTTTGGAAACCAGAGTAAGCGTAAGAAGGAGACTGAAAGTCAGTAGTCCTACCCCGTAGGCGCCAGGTGAGTTGGACATTGACGTCCGGAGGCACCGTCCAGAAGAAGTACCGCTCGCGTCATTCATGGCTCCCCGGGCAGTCCCTGTGGATGGCGGTGGTACACTTGTCCCTAGTATGCAGGGTCTAACGGAGGGTGTCGGCAGTCAGGCTCCGGAGCTGGTAGGAAAGCAGCATTGTGGATCCGCGGATGTGGACCTCGGACAGGTCCAACAGGACCTGGTAAGTGAAAAGAAAGCCCCACGCAGAAGGGTGGAGCTGGCTGGAGCAGATGCCGATGAAGCGGCAGAAGTCGACCACCATCCAGGGGAGGCTGCCCCGGAAGCCGTACAAGATGTAGTCATCGTGGATTGCGATGCAGTAACGCAGAGTGCTGTCCGCCCAATTCCCTTTACCGGGGAAGGTGGCATCAAGGCCAGAAGAGTAGGGGGTTCGTCGCCAAGACTCTCTCCAGCGAATCTGGTGTGCATCTCGACGGAGGGCGGTCGGAAGGATCCTTTGCCGGAGGCGTTCGAGTGATGCTCTCAGCTTTGCCCCAGGTCCACGAAAAGCGAGAATTCCACTCCCCGGATGACGAACTGAAGCCGACATGTCAACTGAATGTAAAGAAGGATGTGTGGCAGAAAAAGAGAATTCAAAAAGAAAAGAAATCTGCGGTTCGCTTCGGAAATAAAGTGAAACCACAGAAGTGCGGACTTCACCGTTTTATAGAAGGAGAAGAAACCAAAGTGACACGGGAGAGGAAAGGCGTCGGTCGGGGAAAGCCAAAAATCGGTGGCAGTTTTGTAATTATTAGTCTCTCGAACCGTACGTGGAAAGTGATGCGCATTTAATGCAGAGAGAGAAAGGCAGCCCGTCGCAGCAGAAAAGATGACCGGCAGCTCTCGAGAAGTGGCGCATGCTACACGAAGCGACACACTGCTCTTCGAACCACCAAAGTTTTCTGCCACATGAACCGTATTCATCAGCGTCGAAGAATTGCACAAAAAGGTTCAAATAAAAGTCATAGAACCCACTAAGATTCGGAGAAAATCGACTGACGGTATGAAATTCACGCTTTTATAGGAAAACTACCACTCGCTCCCGAGCGAAGTAGCTGAATTGTATACTTTTGTTAATCAAAGTAAAGTTTTATAAACTTTTGTTCAAAAAATAAAAAACAAAAATAAAGTTTGGTTTGATGGTCAAGTAAAAAAAGAATTAAGAGGAAAACAAACCCTTTCTCTGAGAAAGAGGGTTCGGTTTTCGCAGCCCTAGAAGAAAGTATGCAAAGTTTGTGTGTGTGTGTGTGGGCTTTTTGTCAAATGTTCGAAAAGCTCAGAAATACTCAGAACTTCGCTGTTAACCTTCGATCTTGTTTCCCAAGGACGAGGAAGAGAGATGGGTTTTCATGTTCTTAGGTCCCCCCTAACCTTGCGCTGTTACAGCAGCTCTCTCGTCGGCTTCTTATCCAAATCTCACAATCCTCTTCTCTCTGGTATGTTCGTTCTTTCTTCGCAAATGTAATCTACTTTACGGGTTTATCGCAGTCGACTGTTTCTTCTCCATTCTGAAATTTTCTTGGTTGAGTAATTCCCACAAACACTTAGACTGCATTGTCAATTTTGGATTCTGTTTCCGCGAAACTCATGAGGGGGAAAGAAATCGAATTTCTTGGAAAAGCCCAAAATTTTGTGTTCCTATTTGTCAAACTCTAGAGGAAAGAGACGATTTTGCTGATAAATCGCTAAATCAGTTTTATGTTCAGCTTCCAATTTTAAATGAAATGTTGAAAGTTTTGGTTTTTCGGTAAAGTGTTGTTATCTTTGCTCGGTGTTATTCGTTCAGCGCGATGTGTTAGAGCAGGAGAATCAAGTTCCATCAGATGTTTTGCTTCTGCTATGCGTGGAAAGAAGTAAAGACTCTTTTCTTTTGTTATTGAAATCAATCTCTCTGTGTATTCATTTTGATGGAACTCTTTCTTGTTTCATAACAGCAAGAAACAGAGACTGGACGAGGCATGTCTCGAAAGGTATCAGGAATACAGCCGCACACTAATACAATCATGGATTCTACAAGGTACTAGAAAGTATGCTACAAGGGTTTATGTAACTCGTCTTTAGAACCTCTGTAGCTTAGTCTTTAGTGGTGTATGTGATTTAGGGAAAGTGCTTGTGGATGGGAAAAGAGCTAGTAAAGCTGGAATGCCTGTATCAAATGGTGTATCCATAAAGATTACAGCAGAGGTTCCCAAATACGTATGTAGGTGATTATTTCCTCCGAGTTACTCTATATTTACACAGTTTCTTTCTTTCGCGCTTTGAGAATCTTGTTTTTGTCGACTGTCCTCTACTGTTTTTTTTTTGTCAACGTGCAGAGGCGGACTCAAGCTTGAAGCTGCGATCGAGAAGCTAGACGTTGATGTCTCTGAGAAAGTAGTTCTTGATGCAGGACTTTCTACAGGAGGGTTTACGGATTGTTTGCTTCGTTATGGTGCAGCTCATGTTTATGGCGTAGATGTTGGTTATGGTCAGGTGCTAAGTCTTGTTTCCTACAGATTGTTATGATTCAGAGTCTTCTAAGCAACTTCTCTTAGTTAGTGTGTATTGTAACAGGTAGCTGATAAAATCCGTAATGATAAGAGAGTGAGTGTTATAGAAAGGACGAATCTTAGATACCTCCCTGGACTCCCACAAAAGGTCGATGTAGTTACACTAGACCTCTCTTTCATTTCCATTCTCAAGGTAAGTTTGCTTCTAAGTTCTGTATATAGAGTGTCTATGATTGTTATGTTATAATCTGCGAATGTTTGAGACTTTTGACTTGTGAACAGGTGATGCCAGCTGTTATGAATGTGATGCAAGAAAATGCAACTTTAGTTACTCTCGTTAAACCCCAATTTGAAGCTCGAAGATCACAGGTAAGACGAACAGACTCATAAGTATCATATCTCTGCGATTTTGACTATTTGTTCTTGAACATTTTTGTTTCTCTTGGAAGGTTGGAAGCGGTGGTATTGTAAGAGATCCTGAAGTGCATCAGGAGGTATGTTTGCATCTCCATGTCCTATTTTGTGACAATTGAATCTCTTTATTTCCCACCTGGATTCTATTGATTACAATTCTTTGACGTCTTGTTTATTGGGTGAAGGTTCTTGAGAAGATTATAAATGGTGTTGAGAACTATGGATTCACCAACAAAGGATTTATCGAATCTCCTATTAAAGGCGCCGAGGGAAACATAGAGTTCTTGGTTCGCTTCGACCGAGGAACAGTGAAACGCGAAGAAGAATGTTAAGAACCTTTGCCTGAAATGTTATTGTTTCTTTCTTCTTTCGCACATTCCATGATTTAACGTTAAGTGATACATTTTGATAACTGTTCTTTTGTTTTGGTGATATCATATATCCCAAAGATAAATACCAAAGGAATCGAAAGTTAATCAGAATCTCAAGAGTAGCATTTCAGGGCTTACACAAACTGTTTTCCTTTAATGGTTGAAAGTTGTCATACAATGCAATATAAAAGCTAGACAGCACAAGAATTTTTATAATAATAACAAGTCTTATATATTACAAAGCAAAGACTTGACTTGAGATCGAAATAAGTCCTTCACCTAGAGTAGCTTTCTCATGGCATATATGGTCTGCTAGTATGTCTTGCCACTGCAAAATGGAGGCGAAATCTAAACAAAAGAGAGAGAAAAAAGGAACTTTTTGGTTGTAGCATGATGAATGTGAATCTGCATACCACTAAGCTATGTCCTTGCATCAGTTTTCAGTTCCGACAAGGACGCTTCGTTGTTGTTTGAAGATTTTGCGGTTTTCTCTGAATACATATGCACAGGTGGAGGCAAAAGCTCTTGTTGAATGGCCTGAGAACAGTAAAAAATAAGACAAGCAGAAGATAAAGACCAAACCCTCAGGATTTACGACAGAATCAATGGAGTCTGGAAACATGGAGAGAGGGATGTAACTAAACATACCAACCAACCCTTCTTCCCTCTCGCGCCGCCTTTAATGTAATAAGCCTCTTTGAAGCCATTCTCGATCAACAATTCAGCCACTTTCATGGAGTTACCATCAAAACTGCCTTCCACATCAAAGTCAAAAACTTGTGAGACAAACTCTCTCTTCAAAGCAATGTCACAATTTTGTTAAAGTTCGAAGCTTTTTTGGTTTATCTCCTTACTTGTCAAGAATACAAACAACTGTATTCTCCGGACCAGAGAAGCTTCCTTTGACTTTCGTCAAGAACCCTGACTCGTCATCTTCACTATACGGAACCTGAACCGAGCTCTTACCCAGAAACTTGAGATTCGGTGATGCCAAAGAGGCCAGTTTCTTTTCATCTCTGATATCCAAAAGCTGCGAATCGGGTTGGTTTCTAAGCTTTCGAAACGCATCAATGGCGGATATCGGTTTATACTTCCTCAGGTAGAAAATCACCGCCGGGTACACCACGAGATACATGAATGTACATCCCGCCACGAAAAACGGGTACTTGTTGAAGAAATTATCGATTGAGATCAGAATCGACTCCAGATCGATTCTCCCAGTTGATTGATCGGAGATTGTGGGGAAGGGTTCTGATGCGAGAACAGGGGAAGATAAGATGAGATGGGAAACGGTGAGAGAGAGATGGGTTTTGGATTGGAGATGTGATGAAGGCCAAAAGTTTAGGGTTTTTGGGGGAGTTATGGGAATTTGATCGGAATCTAGGATTCGAGAACTGATGGGTTTGCATAAGTTACGCGGAGGAGAAGAAGCGAGGATTATCGGAAGAGGCGTCATAACGAATGGCGACGAGAGCTGACGATGAGTGGAAGCGCCCAGAGGATAAGAAAAACAAATAAAGGGTTTATATGTTACATAACTCAAATTGTATGGTAATATTGGCATAAGAATAAAATATGGTGCCAAAATTGAAAATAAGTTATTTCAACAACTAAAATTTGAGGGTTTTTCTTTTTTTTTGAAAATCATATATATTTATATAAAGTTTAAATAGTCATGAGTGTGGATACATAAATCAACATTCAAAAATTTATGTGTTTTTGTAAAAACGAATTTTAAGAGAATTAAGGGTTAGATTCTCTCAAATAGATTGACGGTATAAGCTAACACTAACTGAAATAAAAATTTGATATTAATCGGTTGAATGAAACGATTGCAAAGATTTCTCTGAAAGAGATGAAATAAAAAGAGCTCTGGGAGTAATTACAGAATTTTCGTGGGTAAAAAGTGTAGAAGAAGATCAAGTCGAAGGTCTCTTCACTAAGCAATTTGTATCCTTTATATAGCTCGCCTCGTCGAGTTTCAACCTCCATCGCGTATCTCAGCCATGTGCAGCAGCTTCACCCGGAAATCTCGGCCATGTGCAGCAGCTTCTTCTGCAAATTTCAGACTCGTTTGAATTGGCGAGAATATGCCCTAACTTGGCTCGGATCCTTCCTTATTTCTCGGGATTTCATCGAGCTAAAGCTCCACTTCATCGAGCTGGAGCTCCATGGATCGTTTGATTGTTCGGATTTGGATCGTTGCGAGAAAATAGGCATGGACTTTATGGTCAAAGCCCAGCCAATTTGTGCTAGGTCTGGATCTGCTTATTGGGCTTGAGTGGACAGGATTTAGGGTGTTAAATCCAGCTCCAACAATTGCCCCCAGCCCACTAATGAAAGCGAGCTCGAGCTTTAATGGGCGGTAAGATGTGACTTTTGAAAGATTTCGTATATATCGTGGTGACGTCACGAGGTCAGATAATCATTCAAGATCAACGGCTCAGATCCAGGAAAGGTGAACAGTCCATAGATCATATGGTCGGGATTGACCTTGAAGCCGCAACTTGAATGTTGAGATAAGTCTGTTATTATCTCGTCCAGATGGACGGTTGGGATTTTGAGTAAATATTAATATTTACTTTAATTTTTTGGCGGTCGAGCTTCTCGGGGCAAGGTGCAGCCCTCGAGAAGATTTGTGCAGATACTCTTTCGACATGGAAGGTCCAGATTGAGAGAGAGAAAGAAAATCCAATGGTCCTGATCGATCAAGTTCTGCGGCGCGTCAAATCTTCGAGGTCGAATATACAACGGTTGAGATTGTGAGATCGAACGGCAGAGATTGGCGCGTGGCCAGATTCTTCGTGATCTATGACATAGACAATAATTACCTAGATATAAAGTTCACCTTCTTCACTCCTTTAACTGCATCATAAGTTCGTTGATGACACAATATCAGAAACTCATCAAAAAGATTTGTTCAAAGACGAACATATATGGGTGATGTTTACAAGTTCAAAGGTGGCCATTTCTTTATTCAGCAATTCTGGAACTTTTCAAATTAAATGTTCGTGGGATATTCTATTTCAATTAGAAGATTGCTCAAAGATCTTTCCACCGTGAAGAAACTCACTAATCAATACATAATGACGTCCAGATTCTTCTTTATACCAAGAATAATGGTCCACCAGCTAACAATATTAATTGGAATATCTTGAAGACAAGAAGATCATCAATCAGATAAACATCGCCACATGATCAAGAATAAAGGCTCGTCAACATTGATTTGTTAATCATTTATTTTCTATATGTTAATAATCTATTTCTTTATTAATTTGTAAGCATTAATGGTCTTATTTTGTATGAGCTTATAAAAGCTTTCTTTTGTAACTATTTTAGATATACAGATTTTTGAAAATAAAAGAGAATTCTCTCTAAAGCTTATGCTTTCTTTTGTTTATCTAAGTTAGATAGATTTCTTTTCTTAGTAAACTTTTGATCTATGTCTCTTGTATGTGATTTTTTGAGGCTAGATTTGTGAACTCATCATAAGGGCTTTCACACCCTTGAGTGGCGTTCTTCGATCCACCATCACTTCCATTCATTTGTCCAACAAGAGAGAGCGTTAAAGCCAGCTTGTTTGACACCATCTCGGCTCAAGTCTTGTGGATTCGAGCCTTGTTCTATCATCAACCATCCACCGATCTGTAAGAGAGAGCGTGAAAGCCAGCTTATAGATCCCATCTTCCGCCTGCTATAAGTCTCACCACCGAGTCTTATATCATCTGGTATCAGAGAGCCATCCATTCTCTCTGTGGTGCCATCAATCCACTTCATTACTCCATTCATTCGATCCCTCAAGAGAGAGCGTTATAGCCAGCTTGACAGATCCCATCTCGGCTCAAGGAGTGACCATCACGCCTTGTTCTATCATTCTCACCCCTTTGCCAACACAAGAGAGCGTCAAAGCCAGTGTGTTGTCTCCACCAAGCCACCTACTCTGATCACCGTAACACTCCCAACCGAGTATTACATCAGTCGATTAAATGTAACTTCTACTCTCTTCTTTCTTTTATTTTCTGCAACTTCCATATGTCGCGATTTTTGAGAAAAGAGATTTTTTCGGTGATCGTTTGCTAAGTTTCTCGTTTTCTTTCAGAAAAACTTCGATCTTTTTTTCTTCGTTTTTATGGGTTTAGCATCTTTCGTTTTCTTCTTCCCTCTTTCTTTTTACAATGTCAGCGATCGTTAAAATCAAAGGAGAAGAGTCCGGGAGAAACACCGTAGTTCCGGGCCCGTCCAAACTAAACGACCAGAAGGCTCTCGACGACCTTCGTCGAGAATGCGAGATCTCCGATGGGGTAGAGTTGGCGGTCTTGACGTCAGTGGAGACTCTGGCAAACGTGGAGTCGGGTTTTTGTTGCGTGTACGCAATATACTTCCGGGATTACGGGCTGTTCTTCCCGATCCCTCGATTTGTCCTCGAAGTTCTGGCGGACCTACGACTGGCTTTCCCGCAGATGTGGTCGAATCTGGTTCGGGCCATCATCGGATGTGTCGTGTGGGCCCGAGAGGAGGCCGTTATCTTCCGCTACTCAGACCTGAGGGCGTTATTCTCCGTTAAATACAATGCCCGCCGTCCCGAGACTTTCTATGCGTCCCCGAGGTCAAACCGGTGGTTCATCGAGGAGAGTCCGGAGAAGGATTCTGGTTGGGAAAAAACCGAGTTCAAATTCAGGGTTAACGAGGCATCCATCGGAGGCTTCGACTTCACCCGGCTGCCGACCGAGTTCACGGGCAGCAGTTATCTAGCTAGGCTTAGGCGTTTGCTAGCTATACTTTCTTTCTTTTGCTCGACTGGCTTTCTGAATCCTGTTCGTTTTATTTTCCTATCAGGTCAGCTATCCAGAGCACCAAGGGATCCCGACGTCAAGCACCGGTTAAAATTCTTCTGGCGGGGAAAAGTTGTCTGGAACACGTTCACGCGAGAACGAGTTCGACGAATTCTCACTTCGCCCGTCCCAGCTCTAGTTGTCGCACCTGGTAAACTTTCTGTCAAACTATTGCTACAACTTTTGCTTACTGGATCATGGTGAAGTAATGTGTAGTGATTTGTTTTGCTGGCAGCGGAGTTCTACCTCTCCATTCACTTCCGGGTTCCAATTCAATAAGCTCAAGTTATGCCATGTCTCGCAAACCGACCTTCCGTCAGAGATCCAGGAAAGCCCCGACTGGTCCCAGCAGCTCCAGGGTACACTCCGGGAGTGTTAAGGAGGCTCGAGGCTGTGCTTGCCTCGACTGCTACTCCCACGCCTCATCTCCATGACGAGGAGGTCGAGCAGATGATGGACCCTCATGCCGACCCCCCTCCTCGATTAGTGGGGGCGATCTCCATTAGCTGGTGCAAGACCCAGCGCTCCGTTGACGACCAGGAGCCCAAGCACTCGTCCCAACCTGCCTCCAAGAGGCCAAGAGACGACGGGGGAAGTCGGGCTACTGAGTCATATGCGTTGCCATCTAACGGGAGCAGTGGCTCGACGGGCAGCCGACCGTTCTACTGGAAGTTTGAGCACACCAAGGATCATCCGATCATGGATGTTTCTGAGGGCATGGCAGCCATGTGGCGTCACTTCAAGCCTGATGGGTGCCAAGTTCCTGCTCTCAAGAAGATGACCGAGAGAGAGAGCTCTATGTGGAGATGGCGGCGGCCCAGGAAAAGGTAAAAGGTGCCCCCATTTTCTTTATATTTTTTTGTTTAGTGTTGTTTGTCTTAACGTTTTAGCAGTTGATGTTCGCAGGCTGCAAAGGCTGGGAACCGGCTCTACGCTAGTCTTGAGCAGAGGCTGCGGGACGTCCCTCAACCGGGAGAGATCAAGGAGACGAGAAGGGTAGTCAACAAGCTGAAGTCCGACCTTGAGGCTGCGAATGTGCAGGTCACTCGCCAGACTAGCCTTCTTAAGCAATTCAGGCCAGCAGGCTCACATCACCGAACTTGAAAAGGAGCTGGTCGAGCGGGGTGAGAAGTCCAAGGCCGCCACTAGCCAGCATTTTGAAGCGCAGGTCGAGGAGGTGCGAGCCTTCAACGAAGCCTCCGATGCGAGGGAGGAGAACCTCCGTCTGATCCATGAGTGTGAGGGTGAGGTTCGTCAGGCCAGCTGTGAGGCCCGTAAGGAGCTGTCTCGGAAGTTCATGGAGGTGCTCGAAGGCTTCAAGGCGAAGTGGGAGAAGAAGAAGCCCGAGGGTGGCCAAATGTGATCTCCAAGAGTGCATCGTCAACAAGGAGATGCTTGAGCAGATCGTTGCTGGGGCGACCACTATCGAGGAGGAGCTGGAGAGGGTGAAGAAAGACGAGGAGGATTTGGGAGTGGCTTTAAAGGCCGCCCAGGTTTCAGACTTCACGATCAGCAGGCTGAACCTCCCAGTGATCTCTGAGGACTCTGTAGCTATGGAGGTCGACCCAGCTTCACACGCGCGCCCGTTGGTCTTAATCAGTTTGGTTCAAACGTTGAAGAAGGTGGGAGTAACGATGCAGAG